TACACACTCAAATGAATTGGTATGGCTATAACCATATAGCCATAATGAGTCAGAAAACTGAAACAAGAGGTTGAAATCCGATCAGACCCAGAAGGATTCAGCTCTGATAAAACATTCCTGTTCGTTTTTGTTAAATTTTTTATAGAATTTTAATGTTTTGTGTAACAAAATGCTTTCTCTGTGTTCAGGTTTGACTGTAGTAATAATAATATAAAAACTGATGCTTCAAATCAACATTTCAACAACAACAACAAAAAATCTAAACCTTTACAAAAAGTTGTCTTTGAAAATGTCTAAATATATATCCAAACCCACAACTTAATAAAAATAAGTATTTATGTCTAAAAACAATTAGAGTATTTATAGGTCTTTTATATAGAGTTATATAGGAATCTATGGGCTAAAACCATGGAATTGCATACGTTTTTCTTATTTTACTCCCACCAGATGGCACTAATCAGGCTTTTAAAATTGGATTTTAAAGGCATTGACTCTATTTTAACATGAAATACTTCCATAATTGAAAAGTAATAGAAAATATTTGAAAAAAAAAATTGTATTATTTTCAATAGGAAAAATGTATCATAATTATTGCATAAATATTCATTAGTACCATGAAATTCTCTCAAAAGAAAAAAGAAAAAAATATTATTAAACAAAAATATATAACATTAATTTTACTGGGGGGAAAAAAAGTTACATTTTAGGTGTCCGGTCACTTTTGACCGTGAAGACCACAAGTGTTACTCCCAAATAAGGAGCACCAGAGGGTTAAACAAATTTAACCAACAAAGTTAACTCTGAATTAGAACAAATATATTCATAGCTAACTTCACCTCAATGGTTTTGAGGGCGCTGTAGTTGTTTTCTGAATTGAGGATAACAGAGCCCGTCATTAAGGCAGTTTGGGAGACTGGGTAATCATAGACCGCGATGGAGACTTCTAATGCCTGGGAGAGTTTGTGACCCTCCAGCAGGATGTTCTGTTTTGTTCCAGGTCTTATCTTTGCTGGAGCTAAAACATAAAACCTGAACCAGAACACACATATCCAATAACACACAACATGTTCAGTTTCCATATTCAGAATTATTTTAAATTATTCTGTTTTTGTGCTGCAAGATGTAAAAATGTCAAGGTGGTCTATAAATGAATAAATAAATAAACTGCCTAAAACTCAATAATAATAATAATAATAATAATAATAAATAATTTAAAAATGTTTGTTTGAATAGCACATAAACCATTAAGATAATAATAATAACTATTATTATTATTATCATTATTTTATTATTATTATAAACTAGAAAAAAAGCAATGCACAGCCTGAAATACTACTACTACTACTACTACTCCTAATAATAATAATAATAATAGATACAGGGAATACAGGGAATACAGGACTCTCATGACTGTGTGTCAAGATTATTAAAGTCTCTTAATAAAATCAAATAATTGGGCCTTGTTACAAGATTGGTTCAGGTCGCCAAATGGTATATAACCTCAAGAAAAAAAAGTAGTAATATTAATTATTTAAAAAATGTGTTTAAAAAAAAAGCTTACCTTGAAAACTATGTTTGAAAACAACATATGAAATGATTAATGATTAAGATCTCACACCTGACGGTAATACTATTTAACATATTCTTCAAATAAATGAACATGTTCTCTGTTCATTGATCAGGAATCTGTTTGTTAGCTTTAAGGTCATAGGACAGAGGACAGTTACTTACGTTGGAGATTGGTCTATGACCGGATCACTGTAAGCACAGATAACAAACTCAGTTACAGATGAACCCTATTAATCCGTGTATCATTCGATCATTCGTTTTTTTATTTAATATTGAAAGTAGAAAAATGAGAAAACGGCTCCTTTTTCGTTTTTTTGTTTTTTTCCAAAAAACGAAAAACGAGAATTCAGCTTAAATTTTCGTTTTTCGTTCATGGGTGGAAAAATGAATAAACAGCTTGAATATTCGATTTCTACATGTGGGCGGGAATTAAACGCCCCTTTCTGCTGATTGGTCAGCCGAAGATCAAACCGTGCCTTCATCAGTTTTTCCGCAGTATCACGCAGCAGAATAATAGTCCTCCACTGCTGCAGTTGTATGGATTAATAACCCATTTTATCAATTTCATATTTTTCAAACAGACTAATGAATAGCTCGACACAACTCATACCGGGGCAGAGTCTAGACAGGGCTTTCTTCTGTGTAGATATAAATTATATTCTTTGCATCAGCTGGGCATGGCAGGATATGATATGACAGCTGTCATAGCCTACCCTGCTCACCCAGTAAGTCTGTTTGTTTAATTAATTAATTAATTTGTTTCAAAATAAATATTTTAAACACTAAGACAAAAAGGAAAGAATAATAAATTGGCTTGGGTATATATAGACCTATGTTCACGCAAGAACTGTCATTCTGACTGACAACCGGAGAACAACAGATATTAAATAGCCTACTGTTAGAGTTATATAATGTAGTCTTGTGTTTTATTAAAATTGATTATAATTGATATCTCAAAAGGATATGCACTTGTGCGCAGCGTGAGCTGCAACGCAAGATTTTCATAAAA